CCAAAAGCTCCTTCTCAACCCCGCTTAACTGCTTATACAAGTACAGATAAATTTTAAAATTGACTGAACAGCCTACTAATACCCCACAGTGGTTTCACTGCTTTAAAAATCTTTAAATATTCTAATAAACACATACACCTGAAATTTTACCTCAGATATATTTTTTGTGGTACTGAAGACAGAACTCAGGGTCTTTGCAGTGAGCTACATTTCTAGCTAGCATTCATAAATTGTAAGAGAAAATGGCAGCTTCCATGTATGGCCCACCTTATCAGATTAGGGGCTGGCCTGCCATCCACAGAAAAAACCCACATTCATGCTTCCTGGCTCTGAGCCAAGAAAGTGGAGCAAAAGACAGGAATAACAGGAAAAGTCCTCATCCATGTGGAGGAAACAAGATGAAAAACTTCACTTACTTCTCCTGGTGAGGGGGTGCATTTACAAACTATTTATATCAGGTATTTCTCCTAAAACTTAGCAAGACAAATGAGAGGGATTAATTTATAAGTCATTGTAACTTAAATGTGATCATGACTATGCAAACAGAAATCAGCATTAGAATACAAAAAAAGGAATAGAGATATAAATGGGGAAGGGGAACATGAGGCAATTCTAGGAATACACCAGGTTCCAGAAGGCAAAATACTGGCTCTAAACAACAGAAGGGACCAAGCTTCCTTCTGAGTCACAGAAGTGGCTCCCAGTCTGTCTTGAAAAAGAACCAGCCCTCAGCCAATTATTCACTGCACAGGACAGAGACATTTACGGGCTCCTTAAACTACTTATACTGACCACTGAGTAAATACTCTGTAGATAATACTCTGTAGGCAATCAAAAGAGCAGTACTTAATTAATCAATAATAATATATAAGATGGAAAAAACCTGGGAAATTATAAATATTAAACGAAAAACTTCAGAATCCCTGCCAGGAGTGCTGACAATTGACTGGCCAGTAATCAAAACTTCCAGGGAGGGGGCCGGGGAGATGGCTCAGTAGAATAAGCGCTTCCCTGGCAAGTGCAAGGGCCTCAGTTCAATCCCTGGTTGGGGGGGTATGAAGGGGTGGACTACTAGGGAGGATGAAGCAGGGGATGCCAACTTCCAGGCCAGTTTGAGAAAATAAAGATAAAATGAAAGGGGCTCAGAGACAGAGTATGTGCCCGAGTTTAATATTCAAAGCTGCCCAAAATGAAGAACAAGAAATTGTTAGGCTAAGGGAGAATACAATGAGTAAATTTGAGGCCAGTGGGAAATACAAATTTTTTTTAAAAAAACTACTAAAAAATTTAAGAAAAAGCTATTTTAGCTTTCAAAAATTACATTTTTGAGCCAGGCGTGGTGACACACACCTGTAGTGCCAGCACTCTGGAGGCTGGGGTAGTAAGATTGTTGTAACTTTGAGACCAGCCTGTGCTACAAAGTTAACTCAAGGCCAGCCTAAACTGCGCAGTAAAACTCTGGCTCAAAAGACAAAAAATAAATAAACCAAAACCAAAATAAAAGCAAGACCACAGAGCTGGGAATATAGCTCAGTGGCATAAGCACCTTCTGGCAAGTGCAAGGTCCTGAGTTAGATCTGGTAATGCAAAAATAAATAAAATTAAGATCACATAAATTTTTTCAATGCAACGGAGGAAAACTAGATATGACTACATTAGATGAAGACAAAAACGATAAAAATGAAAAAGGACAAGTTTATTCTCTCGTGTGGAATTTTCAGCTCCGCTCCAATTATGAAGATTCTCCACAGCTGCTCTCCATGCTGTCCCAAGGGGAGCTGAAGGATGTACCCTACCCTCTCTCTGCACAGGTCAGGCAGGGAAATACTGGAGGCTGGGGCGGCAAGGGGAGTCAAGGGGAGGGGAGGGAGAACAGCATTAGGCTGTGAAGGTACGTACCAACTCCAGGGCAACCTTTGCAGACCTGTAGCCCACGACAAACAGCCTGGGCCCTGAGAGGCTGCAGCGCAGCAGTGGATGCACCCCCAGGCTCGCAGACGCTGGGCTGCAGGGCGGAGCGCAGCAGCTCGCCTCCCGCCCCGCCCCGCCCCGCCCCGCCCCGCCCC